TCTCTTCTCTCTCATATCTCTCCCTTTCTCTCTCTCTCTCTCTCTCTCTCCCCTCCTCTCTCTTTCTCTATAGCTCTGCTATCTCTACCGGTTACTTCACCTATACAATCACATTACCAGCACCAACACTACCAACGGCCTTCGACTATCTCTCTACGTTCGCCCTCCTCTCCCTCATTTATCATCTGTCTTTTACTCTTTTCCTCGCGTTATAAAAGCAGGTCACGGAGGGTGACTGAAGACCCGGTAATGTTTAGTACCAGTTGATTGCAAGCTTGTTAGAATATGCATAAAGCATTCGTTGTTAAATGGCCCTTTCTCTTGCGTATAGCGGCGGAGAATTTAATGGATACGCGCGACTCTCCGTAATGGCTGGCAGCCCCGGAAGTGTTTGCCAAGTTTGCGCTATTTGCTAAACGGCTCGGTCGTAGGAATAGTTAACGATCGTACGAATCCTCCATACGCAATGAGCAACGTCGCGGCAACGAACGTCGCATTTCTATTTCCGATTTGCCGAGACACAAGCGGATTCTGTTGATTTTCCCAGGAACAATTCCAATTCGATTTAAAATTTTAAATATTTTATACATTCTTCTCATATTAAAAATCAATATTTTTCTCTTAAAGATCTTATTCGGTGAGAATTTATCTCGTCGATTAAATGCATAGAAAGAGAACGAGGAAATTCTACTGAATTTCGTCAGAAATAAATTTCGTATGATATATATATAGAAATTACTTGTATATAAACTAAATATTTCTCAATAAAAATAATATTTGATAATTTAACAAAATATTAAAATAAAGTGTAATATACGTATTTAATTGTAATAAATAATTAATAAATATGTATGTACACATCTGTATTTATCTATAAATTTATTATGTCGGATTGAGGTCCGGCAAGATATCGGGATCTGATTTGTTCGATTAGCCGTCACAAGCACATGTATATACATATATACACACAAGCAGAAGTTTGAAAACCGATTAGCAGTGTATTCCGAAGCATCAAAACCGTCGAATAGCTCGTGCCGAGCGCCAACGCGAAACTCCGAACAGGCTTCGAACTTGACGGTCGTTCCACCACGACATTTATTAACTTTACCAACGCGGAAACTCACGGCAGTTTCCGCCGGATTACACGGCGAATTAAGCAAGCTAGGATTAGCGTTACCCAATTTTCCCGCTCGTAGTTTCCGTTCATTTGATAGACGAGGCGAAAAATAAATCAACCGCTTCGCGAAGGAGTTCGTTCGATAGATGAAACGAAAAAATTTGCCACAATAGACGAGACGCAATGAAAAATATAAAAAAAGAACCTGGATGTGTACAAAATGTATAAAAGGTTTCGTATAAAATATTAAATAATATTTTTTTCGCTCTTTACGATACATGGAAGCACAGTTTTCTCTATGAAAAGTTATAGGTAATAGCAAAGAATCCCATTTACACATTTGTATTAAGTTCACAAGATTAATTTGCATAAAAAAAATGAGATTTTTATATTCATAACGCCACATTATTGCTTCTCTTTCTTATTTATATTTTTTATTACCGTAAGAGAATTCGCCTTTTCATATAATAAATTACCTCTTTTGCTCGATAAATATTTGTCGCAAAAATTCGTTGTATCGAGAGACAACGAGAGCGAGAATTGCGCAATGAAAGTTTGCCAGGTCGAATTTTTGACAAAATGAAAGAGAAAAGGGAGGGATGATCGAAAAGAGGATGTTCCTCGATGAGGACGCGGCGAGAAATCGGAGAAGCTGTCAACGGAGCGCCATGCATCTGCCACTTATTCGCGCCACCCTCGACCCGGGGTGTACCTTTTTTCCCACAATGACGCTCCACTTCGTTACAATTATCGCCATTATTCGGGTGCGAGGAGAGAGAGAGCGCGTTTTAACGCGCAAGCCGGCGCGCACAATAGCTCGATATATCTATGCGCCATCGCTGCGTCTTCGTACACGCACATAAACACACGTAGATATGACCTAGAGTCCGCCGCTCGGGATCGACCATCGATTTTTCCCTCGATCGCTCGTTTTATTGTGTTTTGACAGCGGCGGTGAGCTCTGGTTTCGCGCAACCATCTCCGGTCGGCTTTTACCGTCTCGCGCAGTCGTAGCCATCGTCGAGAGATTGATCTTATCGACGCTCGAGTTTGCCCCGCGAATTCGAGAACACCTTACTCATCGTCACCTTCCGTCGTCGTTGCTCGTCGCCACCCTCTCGGCTTCCTCGGCTTCCTTTTGGTAGCGCTGGACGATGGTATCTGATCGGACCAGATATAGAGTTACGAGTTCGTTCCAGATCCTGTTTCGGCGCAAGCAAATACGGTCCCTGCTGGTTATTTCCAGGAGGAGGGAACCTTCTTTGAAAGGCTCGTTTTATCGTGCCTATCTGCGCGCGATTTTCACTGTTGCCGATAATGCAATGTCCCGGCTACGTAGATCCGTAGTCGGCTGCCACATTCGCGGAGCGAAAAAGCGCGCAAAGTGGATTATGCCGGGAAATTGCATCTTTTTACACGACACGATATTCGCGCAAATTTCCCGTTAAATGCGGCGCTAAGAGCCGTACTTACGTTCAATACGTTCTCCGTTACATTTATTTAATTACACGGTTGTATGCGCTTGTGCCTGAAAACAAATAAATCCGATTAAAAGAAGCTTCGGTCGCTAGAATTATACGTGCACGATATTCTCTTTCTCGAGTGAAAACTTTTAGTAAACATTATATTAAATTACAGTAGTAAATTTTATCAGTGCCCCTTTAATATAGACTAGAATTTAATTTCATCCTGCTTACAATATAATGCATTATAATTGTGTGTCTAAATTCCAGTCTCGAAAAAAAAATAATCTTAATTCAATATATCATCTTATTCGTTTAGAATTAAAATAATATCTTTCAAATTTTAGTCTTCTATATTATATAATATTTAATTACATAATGCAACGTGTAGTTTAAATAAATGTCCCGTGGCTTTGCATAAGAGAAATCATAATTTAAAACATATTTTTAAATTTTAAACTAATAGTCAGACGTAACGTATACCGTATATTGATAATTACCGTCGAGGAGATCAATCATTCATTACATTTCCGACGACGAAACTTGAATGATAGCAATATTTTCCAACGCAAAATCATACTATGTCCATGCGAGAGTTCACTGTCTGTCCTGTATGATACCGCTATCTGCAGCCGTTGCACGTACGGTATCTACCGGGTAATTTCACCAATGAAACGTTTACAGGCTCATTTTCGCACGTTCGCGCCATACGTCAACGTTGTATTTCCGTTGCAGCGACTCGGCCACGCACAGAAACGCGAATAGTTGCGACAAAGGGAGGGAGGGAGGGGTGGTTAGTGGAGGGTGAATCGTGGGGGAAGAGGAGGGGAGGAAAAGAGGGAACGGGCGGGCTGTTATTTGCAACGAGTCGCAACAATTGCAACCCGAGTCGATCGCGCGCGGTACCTCCGATTAGGGTAAACGCCATATTGCTGCATCGCCCCTTTCGTCCCTGCTCTCCCCTCCCGCCCGCCCCCCCCCCTCGTCCCTTTCTGATTGAAAATAGTGTTTTTGTGCAAGCCGAAACGGCAGATATGAAACCAGCATGGCGGATGCTTACAAATAGTTGCGGGGCGGCGACTACGTACCTATAAATGCGCGCCCCCCGGCAACCCCGGCAACCCCGGCATCCTCGCGCCTTTTGTCCGCGAATCGCGACCACGCGAGACAAAAGGATTTTCTGACGAGCGAGGGTTGCGAGGGATGTAAGAACGGCGGAGGGACGTCCCGACGGAATCCTCCGATCTTCCCGTCCTTCTCCGCCCTATCTCTGTAATTCTCTCTATCGGCTCTATCTCGGAGGTCCAATTTCGGATCGGTTATAAAAGGGCTTAATTGCCGACGAAAACCGGTTATTAGGGATGGAAAGATGTATGTATCGTTATAAAGCTGTATTATTTAACAACGTTAATTTAACAGGCACAATTTGAGAGAGTTTGGTAATTTAATATTTATTCCATTGGTCTTTTCGTTCTCGATAGACGTAAGATGGATTTGAAATATATCTGGAATTTAGCAAATGTTAATTTTCTTGGCGATGTAATTTAATAAATTGAAAATGAGAGAAATAAATTTCAGATAAATTATTTCATTGTGATATTAAGCTATGTATAGATTTTTTTAAACTATATACAGAGTCAGATTTGTATCAACACATGTTTTAATTAAAATGTTAAAGAATTAATTTAAGATAAATTGCAAATAAATGCGTAAAAATTTAAAACTAAAATAATATGGTAGAGTTAATAATAATAGCGTTAAATTTTCAAAAATATTAACCACAGCATGATAGTGTACTTCATTTAAAAAAATTCAACTGTCCAAATATATATTGTTCTATTGTGTGTCTAAAATATATAAATAAATTACGTGAAATCTTGATCTGAAATGAAAATTTGTGCAATCTTGCAAGGTAACTTCCAAGCATCAGAATCATAGATGAGACCAACCTTGAGCTTCGATCCTCGTCGAGTTTCACGAGAGTGGTAGAGCGACACGCACAGAGTAAGAGAGAAAGCGATGCCTTTTCCGAAACTCACTCGGTGCAGCAACACGCTCTGAAAACGGGAAACACGCATCGATCGACTCTTGCAACTCCCCAGTCCAGGATCGGCTATGATATCAAGCTACGTTAGGCCACGTAGAGATAAGAGAGCAACACACCACCACTGTCAGGGCCGTCACCGTCTCCACTACCGCCCCCGGTGGCCAGAATATGCCGGCCGGGATCAATATCGCAACATCGTGGGTGTGACGGCCGATGGTGGGTTCCCCGTACGATCTTCATCCGACCCTCCGCTCTTCTGATTGGTCGACGTTCCAGCATTTGGGTTTCCCTTGTTGTATAGCGAATGTCACGCAGGCTAGTCGGGGTCCCCTCACTATGCAGAACCCGGTGCGGGTTCCCCGTACGATGGGCGGGCTCCGGTTCCTGGAAGTGGGGCGAGGAGCCGGTCGACGAGGCAGTCGCACGACCGAGGGATCGTAAATCATGACCAGTCGGCCGCACGGTGCGCATCGCGACAAACAGGGTGAAAACTGTCGGAAAACCACCGCGATCGTCGGCGGCGCGACGTCGCCACCCCCGGAGCGGTGATTTATGAACCATCGCGCTAAGAGTCTCCATTGGGGTACCGCGAAGACGGTTACGGCAAGTTCAGTGCGCGGGAAAGTGCTCCGATACAGTTTCCTCCGATGTCGGTTCTCCAATGACCATCGATTCCATGACTACGTAGGTGGAAAATTGTCGCTGACGCGACCGCGACGAGGGTAACCTCCCTCGGTCGTCGACCTTGGGAGGACAATCAGTTTAATATCCGCTGGAAAGATCGGCTGTAGACTCACGCGTGCGGCTGATCATCATGTGCAGCAACGAGAGCCCGCCGCCGGCGAAGGAACCACTGGCCGTCGGCCTGGGTAATCATATGGCCGGTTTTCTGCCGGGTCTCGAGCACTATCGGCTTCACCTCTACCATTATGCGATGGCGGAACGATTGCGGCTGGCGCAGAGTTTACACCCCCAACATCCTGGCGTGGCGGCGGCACATCCACCATCGGGTGCACCAACGGCCCATCTAGGAATGAGTCCGGGTTTCCCGGCGCCGTTGCCACTGTATCCGGCAGCCGCGGCCGCAGCTGGCTATCCCGGCCGACTGGCCCTGTCCATGGCGTTGCTGCATCCGCATCATCAGCGAATACCCGAAGAGCCGAAACCTCAGCACAGCTATATCGGCCTGATCGCCATGGCGATACTGTCCTCGCCGGAGAAGAAGCTCGTGCTGTCCGACATCTATCAGCACATCCTCGAGCACTATCCCTACTTCCGCACCCGCGGACCCGGTTGGCGCAACTCGATCCGGCACAATCTTTCGCTCAATGACTGCTTCGTCAAATCTGGCAGGAGTGCCAACGGCAAGGGCCATTACTGGGCGATACACCCGGCGAATCTCGAAGACTTTCGGCGGGGTGACTTCCGCCGGCGCAAGGCTCAGCGTAAGGTGCGCCGACATATGGGCCTGGCGGTGGACGAGGAACCGGACAGTCCCAGTCCGCCGCCCCTGCCCGCCACTCCGCCACCCCCGACGGCCCTCGGTCCCACGGTGGCCTCGCAACAGATATCCGCGATATGGCCGCATCATCACCACCATCAACAGCAGCAACAGCAGCAGCAGCAACAGAACTCCTTTCAAAGCCAGTCGCTTCGACAATCGTCCTTCCAGCCGAGGAAGCGGCAGTTCGACGTGGCTTCTCTGCTGGCGCCAGACGATCAGCATCAAATCGAGGCTGACGTGCTGAGGTCGGTCAAGTCGCGCAAGTTCAGCTGCAGCGAGGACGAGCTGCCGGAGGCCGATCAAGACGATGAAGACGTCGATGTCGATGTGGTGGCCGATGCAAACGCCTTACCATCACCTGGCACACCGCCGTCGACCAGCCCGGATGTGCCCAAGGTCGTGTCACCGGCTCATTGGAACAGTCAGAGTGTACAGAGCGGCGGTCAGCAACAGCAGCAACAGCAACTGTCGGCTGTACACCTTCACAATCATCTACACGTCAGAAATTACTATATTCCGGCTAACTCCGCCGGCGGGTCCAGCGTCTAATGGCGAGTTTAGAAGAAGCCGGTCGATCCGTGCGGCAGGTAGCTGCTCGTATCTCAAGTGCATCCACGATCTTCTCTCGTTTCTTATCCTTTCCGTGTGATTTCGAGGGCTCTGAATGTATGCGTCCTACTCTTGCCACGCATTATTCTTGTTTATGATATGTTCTTTGGCAAACTTAAATATTCCATTTTTTCAAGATATACACTTATGGTTTTTCCCAAACAAAGGAGTTTTCGATGAAGCAAATTTCCGTAGAAAATGTCATAATGACAAGATTATATTTTTCAATTTATTTCAAGCAAAATTTAGCATTTTCAAATTTAACAAAGAGATATCATTTGAAAGCCTTGTTCAATTGGCGAGTTTAAATAAATAAAAAAATGGAAATGAATGAATGAATGAATTAATTAATTAATAATTTTCATTGACATTAAATTGAAAAACATATCATTACTAAATAATACGACAAAAGTGGGATAGACTGTAAATAAAAATTTGAAAACGATTTGATACAGGAAAAAAATTACGATTAAATTCTAGAAGAGGGTAGTTAAAGTTCTTAAAAATTTTAATAATCTCATACAATCTCTCAATACACACAGTGTGCATTAATTAACTTATCGTAAAAAAAGCAATATATTGAATTATACTATTTAAATAATGAATCTTATATGTATATATTTTTTATTTTATATATTATTTATTTATGTATATATTTATTTTTACGTTATATTATATTATATGTTATATATTTTTATATATTATTATGTCGATGCAATCGCGTAAGTTATTCAGCTCTTGTATTATTTTCAACGCTATTCGTATATTCAGACATAGAAACAACACTATCTTTTTACCAACTTTTTTGAACTTTTATCGACGTGTAACACACGAGTAAAAAATATGCGTAGAACTTCCGGAACGAATAAGAAAATTGCAGATAAAAATTGTGCGTTAATAAGTCAGATTACGAGAAATAAATTAATCTATAGCCGATTATATTTCTAATAACATCACATTAAAATCGTAGTTTCGCGTGTTGTTCGCACGATTATCTTACGTTGCTTACGATAAAGCAAAGTTTCGATCAATCGTTTTATCGGAGCTTCAACGGGAAGAAACGGGAGAAAGTGAGGAGAAAATTGTCCCCAGTGTTGATTAGATTTTCATTAAAAAAAAAATTATCTCAAACGTTCACTTGACACTTGAGTTAAAATATCCAAACAGCACAAATGTTGCAAGAATTTCGTAGAAACGTTTTAAAAACATTTCTAATGTACTGCAAAATCTTGATTTTTATGTTGCATAGATTTTTCAAATGTCTTCTATTTCATTTTTTCCCAATTAAACGGGTTCTCATGTAGATAACAGCTTCCTGTCGACGGACGACCGACCTTTCTCACACAGAACGTGGAGAATAATTCGAGTCTGATAATTCGAGTTCGGCGAATCAAATGTGAACTTTGATCGCGATCATGAAGAACTTATACTTGTACTATATAGATAGATGTTTAAGAAAAGATTATGTATAGACTGGAGTTTGACAATAGAGTCTCAGCATGGAAACTCTGTAGCGAAAATCAGTCGTAAACTTGTTTATTTCAAAAGTGTGACGATGATAAACCGCATCTTGATGATATATAAAATTAATGCTTATCTAGTATAAGATATTTATTTATAATATCTGTTATATAGTATGTATTATATTTGAGTTGTAATATATTTGTTTATAAGAATTATAAGTTTATAAGAATAATATATTTGTTTTAAGAATCTTGAAATATATAGATGTATAAAACGAGGATTTTGAAATCGACTGCCTCTCGAAACTCAACTCGCTACACTTTCGAAATAGACGGTTCGCGTTAACGCTGAGATTTTATTGACAAATTAAGATTTTTTGTAAATACGAAGACCGCAAGTTACCGAAAACAACGGCGCGGTAGGAAAAATTGATATACGCGGGGCATTACGTCAGACTGATGATTGCGCGATCTCCGCTTGTTCAAAGTGTAATATAAAAGTCGGTTTAAGAGATTTAACACATATAAGCGCATCCCCATTGCATAATCCATGCGTTGGTAGAGACGGTAATAACGAAGATATATTCTGTACAAACCCGAATATTTCCCTCTTCCCTTCTCCCATCCTTCGCCCCCCGATCCAACCCTTGTATGTATGTATGTACATGTATCGATGTATACGTACCTGCGTATATAATTCATATAAATCCGCGACGCGCGATCGGGAATCGATGATCGCCTCGACCGACGTCACACCAATGAGAAACGTGCAAGATCATTTTTTTAACAGTTACCTCGTAAGCATAGCCGGCAGCTTGTTACTGTCTCGATGCAACTTGAACTTTAATAAAGTTTCTGTTCCCAAGAATATATGCCTACGATCTCTGTTAATTATAACCTACCTCTCTCCTGAAGAAAAAAGAATGAAAATAATAATCGCATGAACGTACACTTTTGTCGAGATAAGGATCATTACGCATTATTACCGATATAAGTAATAGAGATGCTTCTCTTTCTCTCTCTCTCTCTCTCTCTCTCTCTCTCTCTCTCTCTCTCTTTTTCTCTCTACTGCATTATATCGCGCAAACTTAAATTAATCAATTCTTGCATTATTTCAAAATCATAAAGGTATATGTTCGTTCGATTTTTTAAACCTTTTTTATTATTTTTTGTATTTTTCACGTGAGCCTTCGATTGTATTAATCTTCAAAAGTTTGCTTTCTTGTACAAATTCTGCGACACTCGTATAATTTTTACTTGTCTCTCTATCATTATTTTTTGCAATCATTTTTCCTTTTTTTGTACACACATAGACACGTACTCTTATATTTTCGTCATTTACATGTGTCTGTTTTCTAATTCCCGGAAAATTCTCCCGCTAGATTTGCTCAAGCTTTGCCGATGATTATCCGATATTGACGATTTTTTTCTTTGCAATCTCTGATATTTATTCGTTAGCTAAGAAAAATGATGTCTGAGAGTTGACAGAAACATTCCGCGCGCGCCGTTAGGCGACGTATGGAGAGTGTCTAAGAAATCTATTTGTCATGATAACAAAACGGAAAGAGAAAGAGAGAAAGAGAGAGAGAGAGAGAGACTTGGCCATTAGTTAATGTACACAAGTCACAAGATAAATGTTTGTTGCACACGAGATGAGCAGTCGCGAAAAAAATTATCTCCATCCCCGCAAAGATGAGTGCATTCTTCACATCTATTACTGATTGCGCGCACTATTATTAAATCGACAGAAAGAAGATATATATCTAACCAGAAAAAGTTGATTTATCGGAGATAATTGAAAAGATGAGGAAAAAAAAAGTAAAGAAACATGTAGAGACGTGTGCGTCGAGAGAACTAACTAATCGAGAGAAGTTTTATCAGTGTTGACATTAATACGTAACCGCATCTTGTATTATATATTGCATAACAGTGTAACAATGTATTTTCTTATATAAGCTTTATTTTGGATATATAGCTGCGCTTTAGTTAAATGCCTTCTGTAATATCGCGGCAAACTTCTTATCCATTATTCACGCGTTTAGAAGAGATATAGAATATTCTGTTGGAATAGTTGCATTTTAAATCAAAAACCTTGTATTGCTGCAAAAATATTACTATCAAATATATACAATCAAATATGCAGTCATTACTATCAAATATGTAGTGACTGAAACAATGATACACGAAGGTGAATATTGCGTATCGGAGTTTTGAGTTGATTGACAAGCGACGGTACAAATTTGCCGATAGCCTTTCATGTTTTCCATGAAATCATTGCAACTTGTCAAAGTATGCTGGCGATCGCCGGTCGATCGAGCCGATTACGGCCTGTCTAATGATAAATACGTACCGTTGTCTACGCTTGCACAAGGATATAAAGACTGCTATGCAAAACATTAGCATACAAAGTTGACAAGCGAACAGCAATATTTCAAATATAGTTCCTCCTGATGACGGCACGTTTAACTAATCTAAGCTAACAGTCGCTGCAACACACAAACGTATTTGACGGCGATAACACCCGATGATGTGACGACATGCTTGTAAAGGAATAACCTCGATCTAAAAAAAAAAAATCATGTAATTTCGAACACATTATTGCGATACATATTAACGTCGATAAAAGATTCAACATTTTTATTTTATTTAACGTAACTTTATATTTAGTTCAAATTTTTTTTCCTTTTTTCAACATAATATCTGTTTGAAATATATTATGCGAATACTTATGACAAAAAAAAAATGAAAAAGATATATATATATATATATATATATATATATATATATAAATAAAAATTTCAAAGTATACTAGCTATGGTATACTAAGTATAATTTATTTAGACAATTGAAATTCAAATTTACCAAGAATTTTTTACGGAACACAAGAGAAAAGTCAGAAATGTCCGCAGTGTATTTTTTGTTTAAAAGAAAAAGCTTTACTGCAGTAAGTAAAATGTTGATCTTCTCATTATCAGGAAAAAAGTCACGCCCCTTTCAATTATCTTTATATTCATCTAAAACTTTAAGGATAATGACGCATTTTTTACCTCGGGCAACAAAGACGACCCCTGCTGTGCATTATCAATATTTAACTTTAAGGTAAATAAAAAGGACTGCTATGCATTATTATTTAAACTTAAGCTTGTGTAAATAAAAAGCAGTTGTTTAGCAAATAATTTTGGTAGAAAATCACTCTATTATAATGGGTAATTATGTTGGTACGACTATAGTTTGATTCTATAGCATAAAACCTTGCGTAATCCTTTGCGAATAATCTTCTTGTTTCAAACTTTTCTTAAGTTCCGTCGAATAAATTGCTATCCAATTTTTATGTCAATATAAATTTAGAAATATTTATTTGTAGAAGAAGATACGTTTATAGAGATATGCGCAATAAGAGATCGTTATTATATTATCACTAAATTGATGTTGTGTATTCTTTCAATTATATAAACTAAGATAATTATGCAAATGCAAAAATTATATACATAAATTCTCGTATTTATTATAAATGAAAGGATTTTTGCAAAATAGTAATTATAAAATTATTCATCAAGGTTAATAATCTGAAATTGAAATTAAAATTTTGTTTGTGACATAAAAAAAATAATATTTCTAGTTTCTCTCTCTATCAAAAAACGATTTCCATCCATTTGTTGGATGACGCGTTTAATGCGCGAAATTGTCATTAATGACAGATCGAATTAGTTAAGGATTCGATATTGTAAACGATGTCGGGCATAGGATTTAGCTACGCAATCCTGTCGACGTGTATTTATCGACGGGCATTTCGTAGCGTTCCATTGTCTCTCGATTCATCAAATGAAGCCTCGCAGGCG